TGTCGCCCGGGATAGACAACTCTCGTCCAGTTTCGTCACGTTACTTTACCATGTTAGACCTTCGATATGAAAGTTAAACAGATGCCTAATTTATCGCTACCAGAAAAAGTAAAATTTATAAGGCGGCTGCGTGGTTAAGAGCGAAAATTCTCGAGTTTCGCGGTCCGGTATTTACATAAGCAATTTCGTGGTAGAGACGATTTGTATTAAATTTCAAGCGGAAAGTTTGAGAGAAAAGAAGTCACAACACAATTCTAGCAAGTAATTAAATAAGTATTGCATTACAAAATTTCAACTGGACGTTTACAAACCAATCAGTTTCTGGAATCGTATTCAATAGCTTAATAATAATATTAGATGATTACCTTTTAACTGTACGGATTATACTGTACACACTCAGATTTTCTTTACTAAACAACACATAAAAAAAAAATTGTTTTATATCGAAATTGTTCCTTGTATTTTAGAAATTCAGGGATACTTAGTGTAATTCAAAACTGAAAGCTCTGATTTAGTTTGGAAGCAATTGTTTCTCGTATTTCAGAAACCCTGTAAACTTATGTTCTCGTTTGGAAACGACTTTTCCTCGTATTCCAAAAATCCAGTAAAATTTACTGTCATTCAAAATTGAAAAGTCCTGGCTTCGAATTTGGGATAGGATTTCTCAAGAACACATTTTTGCGGAAATCCTCACTGAAAGCAATATAAAAATAATTTAATTATAAAAGTAATCTGAGTGTTAAAAAATCCAAAACTCAAAGAAATAAGTGACAATCGCAAAAGTGTGGAAAAATCATCGAAAATTCGTGAAAATTTACGTGAAAATACTCTATTTAAAACCTATTTCAGCGCTTTTAGTTGCACCTATTGTCAGTAAATTAGTACTCCGAGAAATACAAGAAACACTAAGACTAGTTAATTAAAACAAAATCATCAACAGCATTCGTTTCACAGGATATTTTTGTTTTCTTCTTTGGACCAGAAAAAGGAAAAGAAAATCAAAACATCAACATTTCAATCAATGAGTAAAACGTCGGCCAATATACTTTATGGGCTGGAACTTCCTCAGGAAAAATTTCAAATAATTAGTTCACCAGTTTTGTCAAAAATAACCACATATTTCAATCATCAGTTTTTGAATGAGCTACTTAATACTCGATTTATAAAACAGGAGGCCCCGAAGTAAAACCTATTACGAAAGCTGTGGCTAATTTTTTTTTTTTTTTTTTTTCAGTGAAATAGACGTCACTGTATTTCATCCATGGACCTTATAAGAAATAGACCAATCCTAACGGGTTTTCTCCCTCGTCAGATGCGTTGCCGGCTGTCACCTTGATCACATCCGGAGGAGTAGGGACGACTTGCAGAAATTTAACATTGGTTGCCTATTGCAGCGTATATAATTGTCAAGAAAAAGCTGGTTGTAGCGCCTCATTTCACAAATTAGAATTTCTACATATTTTTATTTTTGAAATTGAGACATTTTTAAAAATTTAGCATATCTATCAAGCATAATTAACGTTCCAAATAATTGTAAAGCTATTGCATGCTTTCAGGGCTGGATATTTTTTTACCTTTTCCTATGTTGTAAGGAAATTTGTAACTACTTCTTTTAGAAAATAACATTTTAAATCTGAACTAATAGAAAATTTCAAACAAGCAATTTTCTATTGCAATTTTTATGCTTTTTATTGGTGTAAATAAGTAAAAAATACTAAAATATTTAAAAACGAGTTTTTGAAAGTTTTGTTTAAAATTCTAAATTGTGCTGCTTTTTTTAAATTATAGATGAGCATTATAGCACAATTTCTATAAAGGAATTTTATTTCAATTATATTTCCATAATACATCATAATACATTATATTTCTATAATACACAGTGATAAACACTTTTGACTCCTTAAAAAATTTTATACATTTAATTCTAACATTAAAATTGTATTTAACCGTAATAATTAATTTTGCTTGTATTTTATAATGATTATTTTTTAAATTTATTTTTATTTCTGCATAAGATTTTTTTTTATTTACTGTTAATTTAATTTATTAGCCAAAGGGACGGCAGCCTAGAAAGGCTGTTAGTTTCGAAGCGGCAGTTTGCGCTGCTTTACTATAAATGTCCGTGTCTCCTTGCAAATTGTTGTTACCAAATATTATCGCCCTGTATTATATTCATAGAAATTAAATAATGAAGAATCTGCTTGAATACATGCATGTTTCTCGCACTGTGACAAAAACGATAGTATCTAGAGCCATCAAATTTTGAATAATGTAATCCTCCACCCGAACATGGGCATCTGGACGGCCGAATATCGAATTTGTTTTAATCTATTTCATATTTTGTCAAAACTTTAACGAATTTTTGATTAACAAACTCTACGAGTATCTATTTCATATTTTGTAAAATTTTAACAAATTTTTGATTAACAAACTCAACGAGTACAGAGCGAGCACTAGAAATAACAGTTTTATCTCCAGTGCGGAAATTCTAAAGATATGCTGTTTTCAAATGTATATGGTTTACGGGCGAAGAACATGATATTCAATGAATATAGGTAATACACAAAACTTTAAAAAAAGGTTCCTTTTGGGCGCAATATAAAATCTGAGTGCTTCTAGATTTTATTTTATCTTTTTTCCCTCCTTTATTACGCTCAGAAAGTTTTATGCTCCGAAATTTATGAATGATTAAAATAACTAATCCATTTTAATGTTAATAATTTAATGATCATATAATCAAATAAATATGATGGTTTTGTAATGTTATTATAGTTTGTAAAATCACTGGCTGAAAATGTTCATTAAATTTTTTAAAAAAATTATCAGATCATGTTTAATTTTACCTTATTTCTTTCAAAGCATCACGTACTATCAATCTTATTTAATTTCACTTTATTTTTTCGCAAAATTATGTTCATAAATTTTGTGCTTAAGAGTTTTTACCGTTTTACCAAAGTAAAGATGTTTGTACAAGAATTACGCGTGAAAAAAAATGCTGCGCGAAAAATGCAGTAAAAAGTGCTTTAATGAGATATATTAAATCCTATTTGGAAAAAAACTGTGGCTTTCATAATCTTCATCACTATACAACGTATCACATTTAATAATTATAAAGAGTTATGTGATACAAAACGCCATAGGTTTCAGTGTTAAAGTAAAACAGATTCATTGGCATTCATTCATTTCGTAAAACAAATCTAATAATTTAGTATTATTTTGTTTAAGTTATTTGAACAAAGTAATGCAATTTTTCCTTTCATATATTTTGTTTTCGTTTATTTTTTTAAACTTGATCATTTTTACAAAAATTTTAATTATATTACAAAAGTACCAAATTAACACAGTTAAAATTTTTATCAGTTCAATAATCAAGATTATTGAACCGGGTTACACTGTAACTGTTCAAAATCTGCCATTAAAAAAATAATAATAATAATCAAGATTATGGACGTAAACGTAAAAAGTTCAGTTTCTTACCAAACACGGAAGAAATTATTGCCTCGGATGAGTTTAGGGTTTGAACATTTCAAAAAGTTATGTTTGCTTAAAACATGCAATCTCACTTAGAATAAATAAATAACAGTTTAATAATCTATGATTTTAAATAAAAAAGATTATATTTCTTTCATATATTTTATTCTTCTCCGTAATTTCAAAGATTTGAGATTTTTAAAGAAAGGTATAAAATATTAAAATATGAAGTTAATATTTTATTTCCTGCTTCTACTTTTATATTTTTTAAGTCGAAATTTGAATAATAATAGTAACAAATGCATTTTAACAAACTTTAAATAATATTGTATGAGGATATAAAAGCACCTTGTAAGCGAATGTACCCACCCCATCGGCCTCTGTGAATATAAGGCGTTGATGGTACTAGAACATTTCAACATTTTTTATTTTTATTAGCTGCACTTATCGAATGGAAATTCAAATAGTTTTCTCTTACGTGTAAACATAGTCGATGTTCATAACTAATAAAATCAGCTAACGACAATTCAAAACTAGTACAAGAAATCTTATTTAGTGGCACGGCCAATAAAGAGTGGTTTGGTAATATTTAACAACATTCAGTTGTAATTAATACTCAATTTGCGATGTATGAAAAAAGGACATGAATCCTAAATTTTCTCGAATCTGAAAATTAAAAGTATTCGGGTTTCACGAAAATAATAATAACATACAGATGAGGAGGAAATGTCTTATTTATATTTAAAAGATTTGATTAAAGCAAATTTTCAGATCTGCGTTTTATCAAAAACAAATCTTAAGACACATTATTCAAAATAAACTAATAATAAATAAAAACTAGTAAGTTAATTTGCACAGTTAAGCTCTTGAATTTTACAGTTCATTTTCTTAATATAATTAATTTAACAAAAAACATTTAATAATAGTTGAAAATTTTTAAACATTTTCAGAATCCTAAAATCAAGGCAAGGGGAGGACTAGTACCGCATTTGATATTAATAAGCGTAAGTAAGAAGCTTTAACAAAAATAACATGTAACATTAATTTCTTTCCAGAAAATTGGCAAAAATTGTAGGAAAAAAAAAACTACTTAGTTTAAGAATTCAGAAAAATACTAAATCTGAATTTGAATATAAGTGAAAGAACATTAGCAATATGATAAACCTATTGTGGAAAATCAGCAACAAAGACTTCAAAAATGGCGCAACTGGATACCGGTGATATTTATTAGCCGTGAAATCGCAATAGTTACATTCTTTTCTTTTAATGAACTTTCTTCTAGACATTAACAAAATTACTCTTTTAAGATATAAGTTAAAACATTTAACAAGATTAAAATTCGAAAGATTCGAATGTTAAAAAAATCACGATGATTCGAGTTTCAACATCTCAAATGTTTTTCCAGATTCGCGGGATTACAAATTTCGAATGTCCCATCCGTAATTTTTAATTAGGAAAACAATTTTGTTTTCATACAAAAATATTAAAAAACACTAAAATGTTTACACGAATATTAAATTTGAATTTACCTTAATCTGCTTAAACTGGTCAAACGTGCTTTAGACTTGGGCTTGGGAATTCTGTATCGCCTGGGTGGTATAAGTCGCATTTCAGATCTAGGTGTCCTTCGTGGAACATAACTTATCATTGGAATGGGACAGTAAGCACTTTTCTCAGGTAACAGAGAATTATTGAAATTGCAGAAGTCTTCCGGAGGCCCACCAGGATACCAGGAGGCAGATTCACCACAACTCAGTTCTTCGTATACCATTGGACTGAATGGGCTTTGACAAGTAGATGACGATTCCGAAGAGATTATACCGTTATCCTCGCAATTGCAAGCCATGAGTGCATTGTATCGTCGGTGGGTTTCAAACCGCATGGTAAAGGAGCGGGGTTGCCGTAAGATAATCCCCCCGCTCACGTGTCGGACGGCGCCGATTTTCTCGCCACATAAACAAACGGTAGTAAAGAAGCGTTCCACAACAACGCCAAATTCTAGGGGCAGAAGCGAATCCTATCACGAATTCCGCAAGTTTCAAATATCGAATATTTATAAGCCGTGAAATAAAAATAGTAATGAAGAGGACAGAAGAAAGAAAACTTAATATTAAAAGTTTTTAATTAATGCAGCAAACTTTTAAATATGCTTTTTATAAAAAACGAACTTACAAGTACAATTTTTGAAAACACACCTGCCATAGTTACTCAAAAATAAGACTCTCCTTACATTTTATGATAAAATTTGAGACATAAAAGTGTAGGTGAATATTTGTGGAGAACATAATTCGTATCAAATATTCATTTACATTTTGATTGGGATGAAAGGCAAGCTACTTAATTAAATGCAATATATAATACGGTACAGGAAAAAAAAAAAATAAATAAATAACAGTATTAAGACACGAGATGCAAATATAAATTTAAAAAAAAAATATGAAAGCTTTTCAGATCTAATATTACACCCAAAAGGATGTTTTTTTTAACATTTTATGTGTTACCTTTATTGATAAATATTAATTCGCATAAAATTCAATTCAACATCATCATCACAAAATATTTAAAAACAGCATATCATTAGAATTTCCAACACACAGTTTCGTGCGCTGAAAATATAAATGTTTTAGTCAGTACAGTGTTGCCATTGCTCACTTTGAAATCCCTGAGTTTGTTAATCAAAAATTCGTTAAAGTTTTACATAATTTTAAATAGACAATAAAAAATTCGAAATTCAAAGCTCGAGCTTCTAAGTACCCATGTTTGGTCGGAGGACTACGCTATTTAAAATTTGATGTCTCTAGGTACCGTTGTTTCTTCACAATGTGAGAAACATTCATGCAGATTCTTCATCAGTTAGTTTCTTCAAATATAATACGTAGCGATAACATTTGGTGGAGACAGTTTGAAAAGCGAATCGACTCAAAATGCCGTTTTGAAATTAATAGCTCTTCTGGGCTAAGGCCGTTTGGGTTAATTAGATATGTATTGTTAGTGATGTGAACCCTGCTAGTTTATAAGGATAGACATACCAGCAACTATTGTAACGGAGGCAGGCAATAAAAAGAAATCGATCACATGTGGTTCAGACGTGACCAATAAGTCACAACAAGGGTAGGGGTTTTAAAACAACATGATATTTCATTAATAATACTTGTAAATTGAAAAGCAGCCACAGACGCAGACTTCTTTCCCAACAAAGATAAGATAATAGGATAAAATGTCTCCAAACTAGGGTACATAATTTGGCGTGCATCCAGACAAAGATAATGATAATGAATCGTCAGTATGGGGACAAGGTAATAGGAACGACGTTTACTCTTCATGAAATATAAAAAAGGCGGATTCACATCAGTATGTAGATCCTAAACAAAACAGATAGAATGTTATTAACTACATTCAGTGATATTGGGATACGTTTCTTGACTGACGTACTCCCAAAAACTTCCTCAAGTTCTCTAGCTTGCAAAGTTATATAAGTTTGTTGAGCTATAATTTTATTTACAGACACTTTTTAGTCCAAAGGGGCTTTGTTCCTGATGGAATATTGCTTTCGTTTTGCGATTTTGCGATGAAAACTTTGAAAGCCTGTATCACTTTTCAAATCGTTGCCAACAATATTTACTGCATTATTTTTATTAATTGAAACATTAAAAATTAGTCTTTATAAATTTTAAGTTTATGTTTTCGCACAGTGACAAAAACCGGAGTACCTAGACGACATCCAGTTTGAATATTGTGGCACTCGAATAGCAAAAAACCAAATTTGAAATTTGAATTTGTTTACTATCGATTAATATTTGTAAACTTTTAACAATTTTTGGATTAACAACTCAAAACGAAGCGGTTTGAACAATGGAACATCTAGGGGAAAGAAAATTAAAAAAAAAAAAAAACTTTTATTTCCAGCTCTCGCGAAACTGTGTATCGGAAATTCTAAAGATATCGGCTCATTTTTAATTATTTGAGACATTGCTGTTGAACTGAATTAGGTTTAAGGCAAAGAAAATGATATTTCATAAATAAGGTAACACACAAAATAAAAAAAGTCCATTTGGACGTATTTAATTTGAACCTTTCAGATTTTTCTTATTAAATTAAATTATTATTTTTTTCCAATTTATATGTGAATAAAATTGTAACTAAAATGTTTCCTTCTTTTTCTTTTTTTTTTTTTTTTTCTAACCAAATGTTACTGCTTTAGAACTAAAACCCTGTACTTGAATGATACTTCTATTACGGGCCTGATCCAGCATAGACTCTTTAAAACATTTTGTTAGCTCTTAATTGAGTTTAGGAATGATTTTTTAAAAAGCATATTACAACTCGACTAGTGATGACTCTAAAATTGTTTTTTGCATCTTAGTGTGGGGCAGGTTCTATTAGCTTTTCTATAATTCAAAATACCGCATTCGAGATTTACCATATATTTTAAAATACAATATATATGTATATATATATTATATTTTAACGGTTTCGAGTAAATGCGGTATATTTATTAAAATGGTGTAATTAATATTCAGTAAATGAAATACGTGTTTAAAGTTCTTGAATCTTGTTGTTTCATTTTCTCAGTATTTTTTTGCTGCAAATGTTTGAGTAATAGTTGAATTTTTTTTTAGATTTTTCCGAAGCCATTTTAAACCAACGGAAGTGTAGAGGTAGGGGTATTGTTTAATGAGTTCTGATAGATACATATTAAACCCTAAATTCTGGATTTGTAATTAATGGGAACCCTAAATTCTATTAAGAAAAGTAACAGAGTAACACTCGGAACCGCCAAGTGAACAACAGGACCACCGAAATTACAACAGATCCTCCTTCCATCAAGCTTCGATGAACGCCAATCACATATCTCAATTATTATTTCATCCATCAACTTCAATTTTTAATTTATCTCTTCTGCGTCCTTTTATATCTCACTTTTCTAAATTGTATTACGTAAATTTTGAATTGCATAAATTAAAAAATAGCGAAATACTGAAAAGTACAGTTGTATCTAGATCAGAGTGTTTGAAAGAAAAAGAAAAAAAAAAAAAAAAAAGGTTATTTGAGTAAAAAGAGATTCTATAAGTAAGTAGAAAAATATATATACAGTATAGTCTCGTAAACTCGACATAATGTGGACTGAGAGACTGTCTAGTTTCCGAAAAGTCGAGTTTTACGGAATAAGGGATGGGTTTTTCAGAACTCTTAATATTTACCCTTTGATGCGCGTGGTATTATTTTTATAATGTTTTAACTAAAAACTCTAGACATCGAATATTATAATCCTAGTGACAAATAATATGTGAATTAAAAAAAAATCTACTCTTGGTCATTAATCTGTTGGTTGTTAGCTCAGCTTTTCCATCTATCGAACCAGCCAGCAAAAGTAAATCCAGGCTCTTCTTGAAATTCATCATAAAATTTTAGGGCTTTCTCTTATAAAATTTGTCCTGAAATGCGTATTCCCTGTTTTCTTTGCTGCCTGAACCACCAATAAAGCGCCTCGCTCACTTTTTCATATTCACCAACTTTCATACTTTTTCTTTCCTTTAAACTATCCGTACATGCTCTTCACACACAAAGGTTCGATTTAGTACCTCTTTCCCACTCTATCAAAGTAATCCGTCCACCTAAATTCACGGGAATTTTGTTTACACTTTCCCCTTCGTCCAGTCTCTTTAAGGCATCTAGTTTCATTTCCATGGTCACCTTAGTTTGTTTTCTTTCCTTTTCGAACGACATTTTCTCCAAAAATATGTCCGGACTTATACGCCTGGATGTGAACTGAGGAATGATACCCGCAAAAGAAGTGGTGTGAGTTTAGTTTGCAATAAGATGCAATCACAAAACTTCAGACATGTCTCCTAACGTTTCGCATGTGAGCCAGCGGCTAACTACTACCTGACTTTCCTCGTATCCTCGAAAGAAGCAAACAACATTACAACATATCTCGAAATTTGTTAGTTCTAAAAATTAATTTATTAGTTTCAAAAATTAATGGCACAATGCGAGAACAACAAAAATTGAAGAAAAAGAGAACTATAATCTTTGAACAGAACAGAAACGACATAAGCATAAATAATAATTATATGTACTGCATGTAATATTTGCTCTGTTTGACGTAGAGATATCTTTAAAAAGTTGTCGAGTTATATGGAATGTCGAGATATCGGGAGTCGAGTTTGAGAGATTCTACTGTATACATGTAACGGAAGAGTAGTCTCAAATATATATATATATATATATGTAATAATAAAATTCCATAGTCAAGAATACACTTAATTTCTAACTGTATGTTCTTTTCATTTTTAATGGCGCGGTTCTTTATTTGAAAGTACGTGGAATTAAATTCACAGCCCCGTAGTCAAGGTGTTTTTTCCCGCCCTTTTTCTACACGTACAGTTTTAGAATGTTCTGGAAATATTTAAAGCGAACTGGAATGCTGACGAGGCTGACGTAATTCTTGGAAGCTCGCCTTTCCAGAGGCTATAAAAAAGACTCGCAAAGGAATATCGGGGGCCTTTTTCTAAATGTCACGATGCAGTAAATTCATACGAAAAGTATTAGTAATCTTTTATTTACTCCGGATATCTGATTTTGTAACGCTTTTCCTGAATAATAATAAATGGATCCTGTTTTTTTTTCTTTTAAAATTATCGTCTGATAATTTAAGCTATGACTACATTTGATTATTCACCATCCTATTTATTCCGGACAAAAGGGTAATCATATATATATATATATATATCTTATTCCAAAGATTTGTAGATATAAATTTAATTAACTTTTGTTCTTAATTCGCTCAAAAAGAAAATAAGTTCAGTTACGAATTTCTGCACTTCGTTTTGGAATACATTT